CATATGTCCACAAGTGTATTTTCTTTTTCGGCGTCTTTCTCCTCTTTTTTTTTGAGAAAATTTACTTAGCGCATCAAAAACAAGAAACAACTGCAAAAAAAACAAGTAAGAGGTACTAGTCGGGAGCTCCCGAATAGGGGATACCCTGAACCCTCTTCTTCCAACATCAAATGCATATATATATTCTATTTTAGAAGCTATATGTCTAGTTTGGTGACTCTAGCTCTAAAAAACAGGATTTCGATAGAGATTTTTATCGATTGCTTGGCAACGGAGTAAGTTATCGATTATCGGCAACAAACTCGATCTGCGCGGGAACTAGGAGCACCTACATCTAAAATTTCTCTGTCTCTGTTCAGGGTTCAGGGTATCCCCTAGTCGGGAGCTCCCGACTAGAACCTCTTACTTGTTTGTTTTGTTTTGAACAAAACCAATATGCTCCAGTTGTGGCAGAAGCGAGTGCAGGGTATGTGCCGCATGTGCGATCGTGTAAACGGAAAAATATGCGCACAGCAATAAAAAGTTAACAATGAACAAACAAATGGAATATATGCATGGAAGTAAGCCCCCGTGTAGGCACTGATAAAATGTTGTTGTTTTCACTTTGGCACTGAAACTTGTTTAATAATTCAAATATGAATAGATACGCACACACACACACACACACACACACACACACACACACACACACACACACACAGAGAGAGAGAGAGAGAGAGAGAGAGAGAGGAGAGAGAGAGAGAGAGAGAGAGCGAGAGAGAGAGAGAGAGAGAGAGAGAGAGAGAGAGAGAGAGAGAGAGAGACTTGGCCAGGGCGGTGCAGTGGGGCATATTAATTTGCATACGCACGTTGCCATTTTAACGTCTTGTCAATTTTATGTACAAATTCAACCTTTGTCTTCGAGGGCTCTGCGCAATTTACTGTCACCTGCACGAGCACCTGTCCGTGAGTATTTTATTTTATTTTTGCTTGAAAATCTTTTTATGACAACGCGAACGCCTACATGCTAAGCTCGCGACCCCCCCTGCAGAGTTCACTTTGTGTGAATGGATTGCCAATTTTAGGCACTCGTCAGTCCTCAACGCTCCGATTCGCATCTGGCCGGATCTCTCTGTGCATGCCTCCCTTCAATTAGTGTCTCCCTTTGACACAAGCACGACCAGGCCCTCGGCTGGAGGCACATGTCCGAGACTGTTCTCCGCTTTGGATAATTCGGGCACAGTGAAGTGTCCTCGAATCTGAAGCCATGTAGTTCTCATTTCCGTCATCAAATCTACATCTCCAGTTGGAAATTAGTTGACCTTGCAATGCTCGTCGTATTGCATCTGTCCTGCCGTCGTCGTCGTCGTCGTCTTTCCCATTGCAATTCGGCCTGCTTAAGTCTCCGTCAGTTGCTTGTCGAGTTTATATTCACTTACAGTGGCTGTGTTTGACTCGCTTGAGATCCGGAGTCCAGAAATAGCTCCAAGTGCGTCAAGCCCAAGTAGTGCACGAGGCAGTAATGGGGTGTATTAGCACACCAAACCGGGCTGGATGCGGGCATCCATATCGCGTTGCCTGTGTTTGAGTGGGTGAGCCTGCTTTGTGTACCAAAATAGAGCAAATCCCTGGAGAGCTTTTCGCACAGAAGCTAATGCTTCACAAGTAGCGCCTCAAAGTGCGCAAACGAGAATTAAGTTCGAGATTAAACTTGTCTAGAAAATTATAGCTCTAATTTGTTATACACCTTCAGAATGTGACAAGGTCTTCTATTATGTCCATATGGACGCAGTTTTTCAATTTCAATTTGAGATTTGTGCATAGCCACGTCAGTCAGTGTTAAGATTATGGAGCGACTCCCACTAAGGCGTGGCACTCAAGGCTGTAGACCGGACCCGTACTACGAAGCGATTCTTTAGCCAAGCATTTGTTTGGCTGGAAAGGATGCAGATACACATGTCCGATAGTTGAGCAACATGATTAGAATAAGGATGTCCCAACAAGCTGTGTAAATAGTTTGGAGAGAATTCCGAAATAGCGAAGGTTGCCCGACAAGATCTATCAAGATTTATAGGAATCCAACTTCCACAGACGGAGCAGAACACAGACTACTCCAGAGATCGTTACAAAAATGATTGGACAAATCGAAAAATAAAAAAAATCAATGCCTCCTAAATTATTCAGTGGGCAGCCTTAGCTTGACTGCGCCTGACTGCAACATTCTTATTTAATTGGAGCATTTCTCATAGGTATTGTAAAATTATGACCCGAACCGCTTTAAACATGTATCAAGTCGTACGGAATTACACGTAGGCATAAACACGTCACGTATACATATGACCATTGTAAATCTATCTGAATATGTGCGCCATAATCAATATTCTGCTTTTTATACCCTGAACCCATTAAAAATGGGTATAAGGGTATATTGTATTTGTGCAAAATCCAAATGTATGTAACAGGCAAAAGGAAGCATCTCCGACCCCATAAAGTATATATATTCTTGATCAGCATCAATAGCCGAGTCGATCTAGCCATGTCCGTCTGCCTGTCCGTCCGTCCGTCCGTCCGTCCGTCCGTATGTATGAGCGCAATATCTCACAACCTATAAGAGCCAGAGACTTGAATTTTAGATGTAGTTGCTCCTAGTTCCCGCGCAGATCGAGTTTGTTTCCGATAATCGATAACTTACTCCGTTTCCAAGCAATCGATAAAAATCGATATCGATATCCTGTTTTTTGGTCAATTTTGGTAAATAATAAGAGCTAAAGTCACCAAACTTGACATTTTGCTTCTAAAATAGAATATATACATGCATGTTGGAAGAAGAGGGTTCAGGGTATCCCCTAGTCGGGAGCTCCCGACTAGAACCTCTTACGTGTTTTTTCTTGTTCTTCAGTCGATTATAAGCAACAAGATGACAAGTCAGTTTTTTGCATTGCAATGGCCATTAATAAATAATGTTTGTCAACTGTTTTTGGACATTAACTGACACGAATTTCGAACCAGTTTTTTGGCGGACCTCAACCAGTCTGTAGCTGGGCTCGGCCTGGGCTGGCACAAGTACTTATAACAACAGCTATTGAACCTTAACCTAAACCAATTATTATCTTCTGTCAAGAAAGCGAACAAAGTTAGGAGGTTACGCCTGGCCACTTTTCAACCGTATCTGTAAACAATGGACAGTGGCGTGCGCCAAGGGGTTTCTGTGAATAATCGCTGTGATTTGAAAGTGACTTCCAGTTTGTTAACTTAACATAATTGCCGCGTAGATCGCCGTGTTGATTAAATTTGATTTCAATTTCGAATTGTTTTCTGGTTTGTTGACGAACCAGTTATACGTGATTCGATATTAGAAGTCCACTCCGAGAGTAAATCAATACCCATTAACTTTGACTCGCAAGCTGATTGCAAAGTTCAGAGCTAAACTTATCATAAGGACACAAAATTAACTTATTTGAACAGTCGAGTGCATCTCAAAAGGAATTGATGCTTTTTTCGCCAATTTAGAACGCCAGCTAATTATTTTTTCCTATCCATGACTCACTGCTGTGTTTTGTCGTTATGCAATGAGAGTTTCTGTACTTTAGACCAAATGTTTAAAATAACATACGAGTTATCTCGTTCAAACCAGGGTTACCTTCGGGCTTCAATAATATCAATATCTCGCATTGAATTATCAATTGTCAGCTGTTTTTTTTTTTTCTTCTCTTTTTTTGTTAATTTGCATGTATTTATATTTTTTTTAAGATAAATGCGCCCATATTTACATGCACACACACATGCATGCATATGTATCTGTTCTCTGTTAAGTTCGGTTGTAATACCCAATCAAAAACTCTGCTCCAGGGCTTTAGATCATCAAGAGCAGCAAGAGCATCACTTGTATGTGCATGTCTATGCTGTTACTGTTACTGTTACTGTTATGTTAATGTTAATGTTACTGTTATGTTAATGTTACTGTTACTGGTTCTGTTACTGTTACTGTTACTCCTATTATTACTATTACTCTTACTGTTACTGTTACTGTTACTCTTACTGTTACTCTTACTGTTACTGTTCCTCCTACTGTTACTGTTACTGTAATTGTTACTGTTACTTTTACTGTTACTGTGATTGAATCTCGTGATTGCTGTTTGTTAGCGTATTATTTATTTACCTGCACAATTGTTACATTTCTGCAACGTTGTAGCCACTGCACAAATACAAACTCAAAAGTGTTGTATACATGTGCATGCATTTATTATTAAAGCATTTGTGGCAAAACTGTTCAATTGAACAATTGTTAACGATTGCAATCAGAGCAAGAATGAACTTCTAGCAAATACCCTGTAGTCTCAGGGCGCAGGTTCAAAATCTTGTATACCCTTGTAGAGTATATTTAAATCAACGTGCATAGCTTCTCGTAGGGCACGAAATGTTCAAGTATGTGCCAATTCGTCGATAAGTTGCCCGAATTTCACGAAATCGATCAAAATCAATATCGAAATTGAGATGTGAGATTGTAGATTTTATATAAAGGACGTGAAGACACCAAATAGAGTGTCAACACTTTTTATAGTATGCACAGCTCCAAAATGGTTTACTTTTTGGATACCTTTCTTCAAATTTCATACAGATCGGACAACAAACACCGAAGCAAATTGAGCGAGAGCAATTAAATGGGGCGAATGAGGTCTGCGGTTGCGCAATATTTTCTGATGATTTAATTGTGCTCGACAAACAATGCACGAAAGATAATTATTAAAATAAATAGAAATATTTAATGCGTGGTAATGTTAATTGAGCTGGAAAATTGCATTCGAATAGAGTATTGTTTTTTTTTTTTTTTGTTATCGAGAAACATGTTAATTGGATTTTAATGCGAGACTTTAAAATGCAATTGCAAATGGAATTTGAATAAGAATTGGAATTGCAATTGCAATCGCATTTGATGGGTTGATGGTATTTGGAGTATGGGATATGGAAAACGCATGGGATGGAATATCTAATGACAATTTTGCGCATTATTGTAATTGCAGGCGGCCATTCGACAGGACGAGGGCGAGGACGAGGACGATTGCCGTTACCCATAAGCTGTTAGCTGTTAGCCGTTTGCCGTTTGCCGTTGGCCATTAGCCGATAGCCGATAGCCAATAGCTTTTAGCAATTTGCCAGCGCACATTCAGGACTCGAGCAGCGAGCAGCGAGGAGCGAGGAGCGAGGAGCATCGTCGTCGTTTGTGCGTCGCGCGGGGGCGGAGCAGCAGGCGGCGCGTGCGTCTGTCGCATTGACCTGGTCGGCAGTTCTCAATCCGGCAGTCCAAGTCGTAGTCGTTGTCGTTGTCGTTGTCGTTGTCGTTGTCGTTGTCGTTGTCGTTGTCGTCGACGTCGAGGTCAAGGAAAATGTCTTCGCCATTAGCGCAGAGCAACAGTAGCCAGTCACAGTCGCAGTCGCAGTCGCAGTCGCAGTCATCAGCAGCAGCGGCGGCAGCGCAACAGCAAAATCAAAAGTCAAATACGGCTGCCAGCAGCGGCGTCAACAATACACATGATAAGAATGCGGCTGGAACGACGGGGACGACAGCGGCAGCAGCAGCAGCAGCTGGAGCAGCAGCAGGAGCAGCATCAACAGTCGCTGCGCCGCAAAGCCCCACAAAACGGAGCACATTATCCACAAAGGAGCGTGTGATCGATAGCGTACCGTTTCCACCAAGCCGGAAGCTAACCTGCGCCGATGTGTTTGATGCCCGCACCGGCAAGCCGCATCACGACGTACTTAAGCAGCATTTCATACTGGAGGGACGCATCGAGGAGAGCGCCGCGCTTCGCATCATCCAAGAGGGCGCCACACTGCTGCGCCAGGAGAAGACAATGATCGATATTGAGGCGCCGGTCACTGTCTGCGGCGATATACATGGCCAGTTCTACGATCTTATGAAGCTATTCGAAATTGGCGGCTCGCCGGCGACAACAAAATACCTGTTCCTTGGCGATTATGTGGACCGGGGCTATTTTAGCATTGAGTGCGTCCTCTATTTGTGGTCGCTGAAGATCACGTATCCGCAGACGCTGTTCCTGCTGCGCGGCAATCACGAGTGTCGGCATCTGACCGAGTACTTTACCTTCAAGCAGGAGTGCAAGATCAAATACTCGGAGCGGGTGTACGACGCGTGCATGGATGCGTTCGACTGCCTGCCATTGGCGGCGCTCATGAACCAGCAGTTCCTCTGCGTGCACGGCGGCCTGTCGCCCGAAATACACGAGCTGGAGGACATAAGGCGGCTCGATAGATTCAAGGAGCCGCCCGCCTTTGGCCCCATGTGCGACCTGCTGTGGTCCGATCCGCTCGAGGACTTTGGCAACGAGAAGAACTCGGACTTCTACACGCACAATTCGGTGCGTGGCTGTTCGTATTTCTACAGCTACGCCGCCTGCTGCGACTTCCTGCAGAACAACAATCTGCTGTCGATCATACGGGCACACGAGGCGCAGGACGCCGGCTACCGCATGTACCGCAAGAGCCAGACCACCGGTTTCCCCTCGCTGATCACCATCTTCTCGGCGCCCAACTATCTCGACGTGTACAACAACAAGGCGGCGGTACTCAAGTACGAGAACAACGTGATGAACATCCGGCAGTTCAATTGCTCGCCCCATCCGTACTGGCTTCCCAACTTCATGGACGTGTTCACCTGGTCGCTGCCCTTTGTTGGCGAGAAGGTCACCGAGATGCTGGTGAACGTGTTGAACATCTGCTCCGATGATGAGCTAATGACCGAGGAGAGCGAGGAGCCGCTCTCGGACGACGAGGCAGCGCTGCGCAAGGAGGTCATCCGGAACAAGATACGCGCCATTGGCAAAATGGCGCGCGTCTTCTCCGTGCTGCGCGAGGAGTCCGAGTCAGTGCTACAGCTGAAGGGGCTGACGCCGACGGGCGCCCTGCCCCTCGGCGCCCTCTCCGGCGGCAAGCAGTCCCTCAAGAATGCCATGCAGGGCTTCTCGCCCAATCACAAGATTACCTCGTTCGCGGAGGCCAAGGGACTCGATGCGGTGAACGAGCGGATGCCGCCGCGCCGCGACGCAAGCCCCTCGCCGGCGGAGGAGGGCCAGAAATCACTGTCAGCGGCGGCGGCAGCAGCGGCCAATGCAAATGCGAATTCAATCAATGGATAATTCTAAGTCAGTAGCAGAGTAAAAAGCAGCAAAGTGCAAGCGTGGCAGAGCTGTGGAGCAGCAGCTGCAAAGTCAGTTTTAGATGTCGAGAGTTATGTTAAAAGCGAGCGCAAAATGCGTATGGTGGGAGGAGTGCATGTGCGAGCGAGTGCGAGTGGGTGAGGGCGAGGGAGAGGGAGAGGGAGGGGAAAAGCAAATCAAATAAATATAGTTTCAAGCTAAGGCAGCGACAGCAGCAACAGCGACAGCGCAGCCACACACACACACACACAAATATATGTTCGCAGCCGAACTTTCAAAAGCATAAAACAACAAAAATGAACGAACAGCAGAACGAGCGCAAAGCATAAAAGAAAAACGAGAAGCATGCGTTTGACTTATTGGTATATATACATATGTATGTATGTACATATATACAAAATGAACAGCAATTAAGCAGATGAGCAAAACACAAGCCAATCATAAAAAGCAGTTAAACAGCATCGAACAGTATTATATATGCTTATATATATATGTATGTATATGTATGCATATGTATGTATATGTATAAACATAGATAATACCGTACGTGTATCATGCAAATTGTGTGCAACATTATATCAAAAGGGGGCGCGCCGCTGCTGGTGCTGGCGTCGCAGCAGCAGCAACAAGAAAATTAGGTAAATTAAATGATATGCAAGAATGCAAAACAAAAACAACAACAAATCAATCTTATATTAAACTTATAATAAAGCTCGTCTCTGAATAAAAAAAAATATATATATATATAAATCAACATAACTCCCAACTGAAAACAAAACTACAACAAATTGAGAAAAACAACAAAAATCCTCAAAAAAAATAAAATAATAATTATATTTATAATATTAATGAAAAAAAAACGCTAAGAAATTTTACTACTTTCGTTGTGTGGCGCCGAGGGCGACTTTAAAGCTAAACACCAAGAAGAAGCTAATGTTAAACTACTTCCTACAATCCTAAACAACAACAAACAGACAACAACAATATTTTACTACTTTACACAAACATGAAGAATCGACAAAGAAACAACAGACAAAATACGACTGAATCTCTCTCTCTATTTCTGACCCTTTCTCTCTCTCTCTCTTTCACTCTCAACAAAATTCTAAAAACAGTAAACGTACACACACACACACTCAATAAATAAACTCAAAGTTTATGAGTAAATTGTCGTCGCCATTGTCGCCTCACACTCTCTCATCTGGTGATTGTGTATGTGGTCTTTATATACGTGCCATCTTTATCGTAGTCCTTAGCTGAATATATAAATAATGCATATATATGCATGCATGCATATATATGTGTATATAAATAAACCGAATTAGCTGCAGTGCAGCAGGTGTCAAATGTGCAGCCGCAGCAGCAGCCGCCAAATAGCAACGCAAAAGCAAATTGCCGACATCTAACGGTACCACACACACACACACATACATACATATAGGATAAGCTTAACTAACTTACGCTCTCACTATGCGCGCGCGTGTTCACTCTCTTACACTCACAGCTCTCTCTATCTCTCTGTTATTCGTACACTCGTACGATCAAGCGGCCGAGTCACCAAACAAATTGAAATCGTGTGAAAAGCAGCCGAATCTCAATTCGGGCCTCTTGCGCCTTTTACGTATGCAATACAAATACAAATACAAAAACAAATGAGCAAAAACAACAATACACTGCGTTTGCATGGCGTCTCCTTTCGCAGCAGCATCACATTTGCGTCTGCGTCGCCGGCGTGACTCGAGTCTATTTTATACTTAATCGAATTTTAGTTATTTGTTAATTACAAAAAAAAAAAAAAACAAAAAAAAAACAAAAATAATAATAATAAAATAATAAAAAATTAAATGAAAATTATGAATGAAACAAAGCAAACTGAATATGTGAAAAAGTGTGCAAAAGTTTAATTGGATTTTGTTGTTAGCTGTTACTAGTTTTTTTTTTTTGTTATAATTTTTTTTTTTTGCCCATATTTATTGTAAACAAATGTAATATTTATGCATATGAATTACAAATGAATTTGTTATTTCTACCTTATGATGCTTATGTTTTTACCAATTGTATAACTACATAAATTTATTGTTTATTACCCTTTAAGTAATTAAGTGAAATGAATTTATAAAAATAAAATGCAAAATGCATAAAAACGAGTGCAACTTCTCTTAAACAAATGCATTATTACTAATATTAATAACAATTATAACAAAACAAAAACAACAACAAAATATTTAAAGAAACATTTATTCAAAATACAAAAATACAACAAGAACAGTAACTATGTACATTTATTTTTAAGTTTAAAGGTAATTGATAAATGAAAACAAAACAAAACAAAACAAAACAAAAAAACAACATAACGAAAGCAAAGCATAAAAAACAAACTGTTATCGAGCGGATAGTTAAGGAAATGAGGAGCGAGAATTGATGAAAAAATGTGCAGTTAGTAAAACAATTCAAATTTGACAAAGACGAAACAATTTATAGTTGACAAGAATGTAATACAAAATGCAAACTTATAGCAATTTGAAGTACTTTATAAACAATTATATATACATACATAATGCATAAGAGAATTATATATATATACATATATACATACAAACATACATACGTTTGAAATTATGGCGGGCCGCTGAGCAT